GAAGCACCTTCCATGTCAATATCTTTGTCTTCTTTAAGTTGATCATGGATCCAAAAGGGAAAATAATGTTGACTTGAATGTTCTGTATGAGGATTTGAGTTTTTTCTCCTACTCGTCATTTCCATCAAAAGCATTCCAAAACTATAGACATCAGCTTTATGAGAAACTCCACCTATATTTTTGTAAAATAACTCTGGAGCCATGTAGCCTAATGTTCCTCTTATTGCAGTTAAAATAATAGATCCATTTTTTGCAGGATACAACCTTGCAAGTCCAAAATCTGAAACCTTTGGAATAAAATTATCATCTAAAAGAATATTATGAGGCTTGATATCGAAATGTAAAATCTGCACATCACAATCTCGATGAAGATACGCTATCCCATGAGCAATTCCAATAGATATTTCATATATCTTCTCATGTCTCAAAGGAACACTTCCTTCTTTAAAGTAAATGTATTTATCCAAGGATCCATTAAGCATGTATTCATAAATTAGACAACGTTTTTTTCCTTCAACACAATATCCAATAAGCCGAACTACATTCACATGATGTATTCTTCCAATGGTAGATACTTCATTAACAAAGTCTTGTCCACTATCTTTGGATTTGCTCAACATCTTTACTGCAACATCTAACCCACTTTGAAGCTTTCCTTTGTACACATAACCAAAACCTCCCTCACCTAATTTCACTTTGAAACCTTTAGTCATTTTCTTCACTTCTTTGTACTCATACCTAATGGGATTTATATTGTTGTCTAACAAAAAAATTTCAATATTTTCATACATTGAAAAGTGTCGTCTTCGCCATTTATAGATGAATACCACCAGCAAAAGTGAGAGTACAAATAAATACCTAACTACTATGAATATTGGTAGAATATCTTGACCTAGGATTTCTCCATCACGATAGTCCCAAAATGGTCGTATGATATTTTTTATTCTATTGGCAAATCCTGTCAAATAAAGTTTGGTCAAAATGTAAAAGATATGAATGGATCTAATAAATAACTTTTTCCAGGGCATAATATATTACGTAAATTAAAAATGGAGAAATATATAACTTACCACGTGTGACAAATGCAACATAACCTGCAAAAACAAAAGACTGCATAAATAATTCAAAAATATGCATAACATTGAGACAAAACAGAACTTTATTAACATTATAAACTTTAGTGATACACATTCCACAAAAGTAATACATTATTAAATATTTATAAATTTTCACATATTAAGTATAAACAAATTATCAATAAATT